TCTATGCACTATTCAAAGGAGACAAAAAAAGGAAAACAAAAGACCAGAACATCTCTTTACCAGCAATCACCACCCAGATAAGCAGAGATTAGCACCAAGATTATCACCAGTTGGTGATGGTTGGGGAGGAGAGATCCCGCCCTCAGCCCCTGTTATGTGGGGTACCCCAGGGTTCGGTGCTCTCCCCCCTCCTTTTTAACATCTACATGAGGCCGCTGGCTGAGCTCATCCATCGCCATGGGGTGAGGTATCATCAGTATGCTGATGATACCCAATTATACATCTCTGCCCCTGGAAAATTAAGCAATGCTGTAAATGTCTTATCCTGGTGCCTGGAAGCTGTGAGGGTCTGGATGGGGGACAACAGGCTTCAACTGAACCCTGGCAAGACTGAGTGGCTGGGGGTTTTGGGGCCTTCTGGTATTACAGTTATGCCATCTTTGGTACTGAATGGGGTTGCACTGCCCCAGACAGACCCTGTGTGCAATCTGGGGGTCCTCCTGAACTCACAACTCCTGCTTGAAGAGCAGGTGGCAGTTGTGGCTAGGAGAGCCTTTGCACAGCTTCGTGTTGTGCCCCAGTTGTGCCCATTTCTAGATCAGAGGGACCTAATCATTGTCACTCATGCCCTGGTCACCTCCCATTTGGATTTCTGTAATGCACTCTACATGGGGCTGCCCTTGAAGAGTATCCAGAAGCTTCAACTGGTGCAAAATGCAGCAGCACGGGCAGTTATGTGTGCCCCTTCGTGAGCTGCACTGGTTGCCAGTTTGCTTCAGGGTCCAATTCAAGGTGCCGGTTTTGACCTTTAAAGCCCTTCATAGCATGGGGCCGGGTTACCTGAAGGACCATCTCTCCCCAATTACATCTGCCCGTCCCATCAGATCTGGCAAAAAAGGCATGCTGTGGATCCCGTCTGCTAGAGAATTACATTTGGCAGGTCCCATGAGGCAGGCCTTCTCTGCTGTGGCACCTGCCTTGTGGAACCTTCTCCCCTCGGAAGTGAGATCAGCTCCATCCCTCTTAACATTCTGCAAGTCCCTCAAGACCTGGCTATTAGGTGATTAGGCCTGGGGTTCCCAGGGCACCAGGGAGATTTTACGATTAATTTATTAAATGTATCCCCTCCTGTTTTGTGTGTTTTTACTGTTTTTTATATGTAGTTGTTTTCATGTATTTATTTTTTAATTGTTGTACGCTGCCCAGAGTTACCTTGTGTGAGATGGGCAGCTATATAAATATGATAAATAAATAAATAAATAAATAAGTAAATAAATAAGTAAATAAATAAATAAATAAATAAGATTATCACCAGACATACAATCAAGCAGTAAACAATACCCTAATCAAGGAACTACCAGAGAAAAAATAAAACAAAAAACCCCCACCAACACTGGCAGGGCAGGCCACTATATATAAACAGAGAGCAAACCCCACTCCACTCTAGCACTGAAGATGTTACCTAGCTGGGTAACGAAACATTTGCAAGAAAACAACCAAGCTCAGAGAACCCCAAGGACTCCACAGTTCAACCCTGAGCTACACATATTCTCTTCTATTGATATTTTTTGTAGTTGGATTTTGCAATATTAAGGCTGCAATCATACATATACACTATACGTTGAACTGAGTAGATGTCTTAATTAATTTCATTAATTAATTTCATTAATTAAGAAATCTGTGGTCTGAATTTTCTCTTTAGATGACCCCAGCACCTGTTTGAATATGGTTACAGTAATCATTAGTGAGCATATAGGACTGTTATACTGAATTGCGTTACATGGAATCTAAGATAGCAAAGTTCCTTGAACCCCTGAAAATGAAATTCTGTAAATTTCCTAAGAAGGAAGACCCTGAACACTGAGGAATGTATTTCTATATAACCACACACTAGATTGGCTGCCAAGTAACAATCATTGAAAAGTTGGCATAAACAGCAACATAGGTCATAATAATACTTCTGTGAAATTAAACCTGAACTCTGCAGCATTTTGTGAAATAATATGTGTTTTAGGCTGTAACGTAGTTTATTTTCTACATAATCAGCAATAAATGAATCCATTTCTTATGCTGGTCTTTGACCATAATAAAGATTGATTTGATTTGATTTGATTTGATTTGATTTGATTTAAACCCATTTCTTTTTTAAGCAAGGGAAGGAAAAAAATCTTTGAGTTACTAGAAAGCATCTTTCTGAACAACCTTCAAAAATAGCCCACTCATTCACTGCTTTTATCTGGATTGTATTTTTGTAATACAAAAGGCAGGATCTAAATCAAAGGTTGTTGAAACTTACTGAATACAGTCTTCTGCTATCAGCAGTAAACCAAGTTTGGGATTTCAGTTTAAATCTAAGAAATGGTCAAACACTCCTTCAGTGAGAAATTATTTTCCTTACTTAACAAATTCCAAATGGAAGGCATAGTATGTATTATTATTATTATTATTATTATTATTATTATTATTATTATTATTATTATTATTATTATTATTAAGTATATCTCTGTCAAAAGACTCTTTTTGCATCATTCCCAAGCCTGGTTCTGCTTCTCAATAATAGAGGGTGTGAAATCTATGGAATTGAATACAATGCTTGTTCACTGCTTGCTGTAGTCTAACATATTCCCCTAAACTGGGGTGCTGCCAGTTTCCATGGCAACTGAAGAACTGTACTGTATGTGATTGTATTTTGTTCTCCTTGTAGATGGAGGAGATCAAATTTAAAGACAGAGCAGTCTACGTGCTGGAAAAAGAGTTAGGGATTCAAGCTGGGCATACTCAGAGACTGCAACTCCAAAAGGAGGCTTTAGATGAACAACTTTCCCAGCTCAAAGAGGCTGACCGGCATCTGAGTAGCCCCAAGCGGGAAGTTCCTCATGCAAGTGGTGCAGGAGACACTTCAGATCATTCAGGAAGTCCTGTAAGCACTTTCTAGTAGTTTTCCCTAAAACCACAAACTGTGCCAAAATCTTGATGAGTGAGTGCCCAGACCGGCAAAAGGTTTCATTTTGGTTTATCTGTTTGTTTGCTTTCTTGTTTTAAAAGCAAGTAGGGTTGGGGAAACCCTCATGATTTCAGCTCAGATTTGGTCAGATGACATCCTGAGCTTCTGGTTTGTTTTTATTTTGCCGGCAGTTTAAAAAAAAAAAAAACTACTTGCTTTTTTTAAGCAGCTTACCTTACCTTGAATGTGTGCCTAGTTTGACACTGTGAGACTCACCACGCAAACGCATACGTAACCAATTAATGGCTGTCTGCTAGTTTTTGAGGACACCAACACATTTCTGTGAAAAAGAAACATCATGGCAGAATGATGTCTTAGGCCTCATTACTAATGCTGGTGGAGTGCTGAACAATGCTTTTGATTTTAGTCAGTGCTCTAGACTCTAGAAAATAAATGAGATGCCAACTAACATGCTTTTTCTTTCATACTTTACAATTTCTTACACCATTCAGTCTAAATTCACCTTATATCTTGGCTTTTTATGTAACTATGCCACCTCTTCCAGCTTGTGTGTTAATTTGCTAACTACAGATTTTTCTGTGACATTTGTTAAACTTCTTTTCTTTGTTGAACCTCATCAAGATTTCTTTTGTATTGCTACTTAATTTGACCTGTAGATTTTTTTTTCCAAAACATAAACATAGATATTTTTTGCCCTTTGTTCCAAGCCTCTCCTGCACCTGTTGAATGAAGAATCCTAGCCCTGTTGAGTTTCTTTGGTCCATAGACGCTCATGTTTTCTTGAAATAAAGTGTCATACATAAGACTTTCCAAGTAAATTACAATTGCTACTAAATAGGAAAACAGGGTAAAAGGAAATGTTATTATAATTAAATTGTTTTTTGCTCAAAAAATGAAGCTGTCTATTCTTATATCTGTATTCAAGTGACCCATGACAATGCTCTGTTAAATTCACAGTCCCATGGGAGCCAAAAGGATACAGTGGTGTATTGCACATACTTAATACATTTTATATTTCAGTATTTATAAATATATTATTATAGGAAAATGGTATGTGGCTCATCTATTTAAGCTCTCAATTCAACAGTGGCATAAATATGAAACACTGCAGCAATTATCAATAATTTCTTTCACATTTCCAAGACAACACTTATGAAATCCGTATTTGCTTACACATTTTTTTTCATTTGCTTCTTCGCTTACATAATAGTTCCTTTCTTAAATTTCTGTTGGTCTCATCATTCATTATTAAGGTACAGATGACATTATTTTTGGAATTAGTCAGTAATGGATGGAATCAGAAAAGGAAGAAAATGGGAGTTGGTAAAAAGCTGTAAAAAGGGTTTCCTTGTTGAACAGTTATTTGCAGTTTTTTTTGTTTTAGGAACAGCAGTTGGATGAAAGGGACGCTCGGCGTTTCCAACTTAAAATAGCTGAATTAAGCGCAATCATCAGGAAACTGGAAGATCGGAACGCATTATTGTCAGAAGAACGAAATGAACTTGTAAGAAAACATGTGCATTTATTTATTTATTTATTTATTTTAAAAGCCCTATTTGACTAATTGTAGATCTTGTAGGACAAGAGCAATGTTAGTCTGTGGAAGCCAAAAAAGTAGGAGGATTCTGGTAGAACCTTTGCAGATTAACAAATTCTATGAAAAGGTATAAGCTTTTGTGTTTATTTCTTTTAATGAAATGGGTTAGTCTAAAAAGATGCTACCAGACTCCTGGTTTCTGTTTAACTAAGTTAATGAAGGGGTTAATGCACTGTGGAAACACCAACAAGGTGACAATTGACCAAGTCACCTAACCGGGGGGGGGGGGCAAATTTAAACGGACACAGTAATTCATCAGGCTAAAGTAACTCCGCTCAATCAGCTGGGTAGTGGAAAAGAATCTATGCCCAGTTAGTTAAGGTGTCTTACATACTTTGTCCTCCAAGAAAAAATGATGAAGGGAAAAAGTACCTGAAAAAGCAAGCCTCTGCATTACAAGATTCATCATCACCAAATTCTGGCAGCCTGGGATATATTTCTTAAATACTGATTGGCTACTGCACCAAAGCCATGCCTATTGCTGGATGCCTTGCCAATGGGAAAGAAGTGAATGATGTCATATAGCCCTATTAGTAGGTTCTAGTTGTAAATCTAGATATTAGGAACTTCTGGGTAAAAGTAGGTGGGGTTTCAGTATTCCAAACTGATCAGTTGTGACTCACTTAATGTGTTTGTGTGCTGCCAGAACCACTAGTAAAGTGATTTGATTGGGTTAGTTCCTGACTGGGTGAAGCATGTTGTAGGAACAGGGCTATAAACACACTGGTTCAGAGCATGAGCACTTTATTGATACTATTATTGCAGGTGGAACTTCAGTAGGATGACTTCTACATTTTTTAAGATTTCCAGCCTAGTGACTTCCATATCACAGATTATACTTCTGTCATCTCTGTGCATTTCCATGTTGATAGTGTATGACCTATAGAGGGATTGGGATGGGGAAATATGACCTTTCTGATCTTGCTTGAACTCTCAGCAGACTTTTATACAATCAATCATGAAGCCATTGGGTGAGGCCATTAATGAAGTACATTAATACACAGTTGCAATTCAATTATATGGAGTTGGGCTTCCCCATGCAGTTCTGGCTTGTAATTTGGGAGTCACAGCTGGACTCACAGCCCCTGCTTGAAGAACAAATGGCATCTATAGCTAGGAGACCTTTGCACTGATTCATCTTGTGCACCAGTTACAGACTTTTCTGTAATTCACGCTTTGTTCACGTCCTCTTTGATTATTGCAACATGCTCTACATGGGGCTGCCATTGAAGACAATCCAGAAACTTCATTTGGCCCAGGATGCAGCAGCTTGAGCATTTATGGGCATTAGTATTTGTCCACATGTATTAGCTTTGCTTCAAGAGCTGCACTGGTTGCCAGTTTGTTTCTGGATACAATTCAAGGCTCTGGTTTTCACCTTTAACGCTCTTCATGACTCAGAACCTGAATATTATGCAGCTGCCTTCTCCCCTGATTTCTGCCTGTCCACTGAGATCTGGAAGCAAATGTTCCTTCCAGGTCCCATCCCTTAGGAAATGTCACCTGCGGGTATCCTAAGGTCAGGCCTTCTCAGTCACTTCCCCACTCCACCCATAACAGCATTCTTCCTAATATCAGTTTGGCCTCAACTTTGTAAGATTTTCACAAGGCCATTATTTCAGCAGGCTACATATTAATGTGTAAGTTTAATTAATTACAATTAATACAATTAATAATAAGTGTTAATCTTATTACTGTTTTGGGGGGTCTGTAAGCTGCTCAAAGTCAGGTATGATGTGACATATAAACCTAATTAAATAATTAAGATCAGTTTTAGTCCCAAACGACTGGAAAGCCTCCCATTAGGCAGGGCTACCAGATTCTATGCTGGATCTGATTTGATTGTCATCATTCGCCCTTTAATATCTAAACTGGTACTTTTAAAAAAAAGATTAAGAAATCTATCTTCTAGTTTGTGGGTCACTGCTTCTTTAATATAACATGTTGTATCTTTATCATTCATTTAACATAATTATACATGATTTAATCATGAGTTGCTAGTTACCTGTCAAAAGAACAGATTGTTTTGCTATTGAAAATTAAAACTTAAACCCATGCTATATTATGTGCAATTTCTCCATGAAATGGGCAGGCACGGTAGTTATACAAATCACATACAGTAATTGCTGTGTTTTCTGGCATTGCTTGGAGCACAATAAATATTGGATTAGCAATAGAGTGAATAATGCTTTCACTCTAGTTTAAGCAACCAAAAACTGGCACTCCTTAACAAAAGCAATATTTATTTTACAAAACAATATATACATTTGGTTATGCAAAAAGTTATATACAATAAATCTTCTCAGTAGTGTAATTCTATACATAAGTACTCCAAAATAAATCTGTACATGTTGTCTGGTGTTAACCTCCAGATTCAAGGTAGCAGGCTTTAACCCAACATACTGATATAATTTATGAGGTAAATACTTGTAACAAAAATAGGCTTCATAGATTAATACTGACCATTTTAGACTGCAGATGTGTTCATTACCTTTCAGTTGTATTGTGGGACACTGTTCTAATAACATGGGACAAGAATCTCTCTCTTAGCCACGTACACACTAAAAATTCCATCCTTTTTCACAACACATATTTTTGTGAACTGAAATATTAGAAATGCACATAGGTTAAAAACTAATTTCTATAATAATTTGACACTTGAATTAATTTAACTGATTAATCACTGAGACAGATTTATATAATGCTCAAAAAACCCATATTTGGTGATGGCAAACTCACAGTTATTTTAGAAAGCAATTTCAGAGTTGGGGGTGAGTGGACACAGGAAAGATTTTCACTTTTTAACCATCCAGCAGAGGAGAAGAATAATGTTGTTGCTGAGATGTAATATCAATTGCTGTGGTTTGTTTCACTGCCTTTTTCAGTGTGCAGCCACAACTTAGAGCTAAGTTAAATACATTTACATCCAGCCAACCATTCCTTAATGCAATTCTTTTCAAATTGATAAGGTACATAGTTGACGTTTTCCTCCCATGCCTGAATAAAATTCCATTTACAGGCTAGTTAATGGCATTTGTGGTGGTAAATATCTTTCCCAGAGCTAATGCAATAAACCATAGTGGCATGTTGGGAGGAAAAAACAGAATAAATTTATAGAGGACATTAAAGCAGCAGATCTGTAGTTGGATCTGGGACTATGTGTAGGATTTGCATAGTGGAGGAGGCAGCTGCAAGCTCTGGGAGGAAAGCTTTCTCTCCCAGTTCCTTAATGAAATTTTAGACTTGTATCTGAATATTTTCCTCAACATATTTAATTCAAAAAATAGTGTGAGAACATCTTTCAAACAATAGCACTGGTATCCATTTATCATCCAAATTGATAATTAACTATGCAGATGGCAGCTTGTTTTGCATGCAGTCATGGGTATCATCTCAAGAAAGAAGTAAAGCCCTTCCTGTAAAGTTAGTTGTGCAAGCAACCTCTGCTTCCCCAAACACCTTAGCCTATTGAATGAATGAATGAATGAATGAATGAATGAATGAATGAATGAATGAATGAATGAACGAACAAATGGTACAATTAAATATTTTGGGATTATTTCAACTTATCTTTTTGATTGACTATTTGTCAGTGTATGCTTTGAAATGTTGAGGATGTTACTCAACAAACTGTGCAGTTTCCAGACAGGATGATATTTGCAGCAGTCCAATATATCTGGCAGGAAACAGAACAGGGAAGGTTGATGTGAGGTTACATCATGATTGTAATCTAACTGCTGATGTTTCCAGTGGTCATGTCTGTTGTGGTTTTCAGAATATTTCTGTTACAAGAAAAACTTCAAAAGAGTTTAGAAGCTTTTGCTCATGAACCAATATGTTCAGGTACACAGAGTTATTAATATAATAATCTAGTGTTTGCCAGAGCATACAATTCTAAAGAAATGTTACATGCAAATCTAACCTGCGTAATGCTTGCTTGATAGCTGTTTTCAGTGAATTTGCCACTGGAGCAACAGAGGAGACCTGAAAAAGGGAACTATTTCCTCACTCCAAATTGATTGCAACCATCTCTATCAAACCAGAAGGGCACAAACTGGGACTTTAGTATCCTTTATGAATTTATGTCATATTTTACACCCCCTCCCAGGCCAATTACAATACATCAAACCGAGACATCTGGTATCAATAAAATGGAACAAAAACCCAGAGAAAATTCAGATAAAGTAAAAAATGAAAGCTGAATCAAACCAACATTATAACCTTCCATAGGACCATGAGGAAAATGAAAAAGCTTAATAGAATATGAATAACTGTAATCCAAAGTAGCTTTCTCCAGCCCAACTTCCTCCAGATGAATTCAGATTGAAATACCCAACTAGCAAGGAGAATGCAGAGTGCTAGGTTGAGGAAGGTAGACCTAAAGGCTAACAGAAAGAAATGTAAGTAGACCACTGCTGAAAAGGGCTGTTCTGAATCTTAGCAAATTGTACTTCTGATGGCAAAGGGACATAGAACAAGAGCACAAAGTGGGCAGAGTCAAATAGAAGGTTGTCCTTCTTATAACCTAACTCCAAACTCTTATAGGTATCTTCCATAGCATCAAGTGGATGCTTTGGAACAGCCTCCCACCTGAGATCTGAGGGATCCCTCCCATTTTAGCCTTCCAGAGAGCTGTGAAGACCTGGCTCTTCCCCCAAGCATTGGGCTAAGATGGGGGTTAAGCTGCAAGGATGCTTGGTCTGGTGCCGGGAGTAAGGGTACTTTTGTTTTTAACCATGTTTTTATGGATTGCTGTGAGCCACCTAGAGCCATTATAGGTGTCATATAGGCAGTCATATAAGTCCTGTAAATAAAATAAAGTCCCCTTGGTTAGCAATAGCAGCCCATATAAATGCACTGGATTTTGCACAGCAGCCACATTTACACTTCCATGTAAATATTTTTTTTTCCCTCTACTTTGCAGTTGAAACGTGTAAGGGAAGCTGAGAGCCAGTACAAACCACTGCTTGACAAAAATAAACGTCTAAGTAGGAAAAATGAGGATTTATCCCATGCCTTACGTCGTATGGAAAATAAACTCAAATTTGTAACACAAGAGAATTTAGAAATGGTAAGTTCTTGTACTAATGAATACAAGAATACAGTTCATTACTGATAAGTTGTGAGTTTTAAGTAAAAAACCTTGAGCAAAATGTTATCACTATCTAAAATGATGTTGATGATCTTACTAGGGGTACTCCTCAAACCAGTTCAGTTGACAGCTGGAAATGTCAAAGAGGAGGGACATTTCCTAGGTGAACACTATTTAGGACTGATCCCAAGCACATTCCATACTAGTCAGTTTGATTAAAATGAATATCACCCATTTCAGGGGGAGGGGTGAATGGAACAAAAAGGGAAAGAGCAAGAACAAGTGAAGTTCTCTGGAAGTTGTTCAGTGTTTCCAGGACTGTTTAATGAAAGTACAGAATATGTAATACATTGCACTGACACATTTAGTCAAGGACACAGGAACTGTTGCAGTAGCTTACTAGGCCCAATTCAAGCTTCACCAAGCATGGCAGCAAATATCAGCTCTACAGAAATTCAGCATTCAGAAACAGCTAGATGTCACCGACTTGACCCAGCTAAATAAGTGTTTTTGTTGTTGCAGGCTTTGAGAAAGAAGTCATATATACACAGATCTGCCTATTGCAGAATAGAAATCAAATCTTCTTCATATCTCAGTCCCAGAAGTTAAATCCCAGCTTTTTTTCCTCCTCCCCTTTAAAGTCAAGGCACTTGAGGCTATTCTTTCCTGGCCTTGAGGAATACCTGTTTTGTGCTTATATAATTATTCTTTCTGGCCTGAGAATCACTCACTTAGCTTCAGCCCCCACATATGCAATACCTGTGCTCTCTTTCTCACAACCTCTGGCTACTTCTACCATGCATTATGTTCCCTGTTAATACACATTAGATACTCTCATACACTTGTGTCCACAAGATATCAATATACAACTATAGGCAAAATATTAGTTTTGTGATCATATTCACCGAAAGTTGTAGTTTCTATGTCACACCATATTTTCACTAGATCAGTTAAAGACCTAGTAACAGCATTTGCACAATATGTGAAGCATTTTTTGTGTATTAGCATATTGTGCACCCCCTCTTTTTTTTTTTTTTTTTGCTATTTTACAATCTCATGTATTTTATAAACCTAAGGAATAGGTTAATTCAGTAATCAGGTTAAGTTACTGAACAATTCAGATGAGCCCTTGATGGCAAAAAAGAGATATAGAAAAAGTTAATTCTTTGCTAGCAGACTACTATCTCGTCATCCACATATATGCAGTCCAGCTATTTTAGCTCTAGTTTTTCAAGGGAAAAATATAGACATTTACATTAAAAAGTATATCAGTTAAATTTGGTTAACAATCTTGTATATTAGAGAAAGTTTCATGAAACAGTTGTATATACTAAGAGAAAGTTTTCAACAACAAATGATATGAATTATAAGCAAAACTCTGTTTAAAAAATCACGGGGACTAAAAATGCCTCACTAATATAGACAGTAACATGAAACCGATATATACTGACTCCCAAATTCCTACATTAAATTAATAAACATTGTAGTCATTTCTCAGTGTTGGTTCTGTTCCTTTAGAGACAAAGAGTGAGGACAATAAGAAGACCCAGTTCTTTAAATGATCTTGATCAGAGTCAAGATGAAAGGGAAGTTGAATTTTTGCGGCTACAGATTATAGAGCAGCAGAATATCATAGATGAACTTTCAAAGGTAACCAAGTTCTCATCTTCTTAGCATGGCATTGGCTACACCTGTCTCCTTCTGTGTGGAACATCGTTAGAAAAGTTCTTGGGTGGGGAAGAAAGAAGACCTTAACTTAATGTATACAGTATAAGATGAAAGCTATTTCTTAATGCTAAGCAGAAAAGTTGGAAATCTTTCATTTGATAATTCAGGTAATATCTGGACAGACAGAAAGTCTAAATTTCTGGGTTATTGACTATATAATTAATTTAAGCTAAATGTGATCATTGTTTTCTCTTGGCAAAAATCTATATTTCAGGTTCAGTAACAAAAAATTTTATTGTCTCATTCATCCCACTTCACACTGTCAAAGTAATGGGCATGACAGAAGCTAAACATTTAACTCATGTTTCTACATTTGGGATTTGTATAGTGAGATAAAAATCACTTTCCTCCCTTGTGGCATCATGGTAGATAATTGTATCTACCACTAGGGTTAAAAGAAGAAATTGTAATCATTTTCCAAAGTTTGCAGGTTTTGTAGTCCATTATGTCACCAATCTCTTGATTGCTTTATTTCAGTTACATTAGGGTGAAATTAACAACACATCTATACATGACCCTGTCTTACCAGATCTGATGTTGTCCAGATATGTTCGATCACAATTCCTAAAATGCTGGGTACAAGAGATCTTGGGAAATGTGATCAAACACATCAAGAATTTATATCAATGTTATCTGAGTGCAACTTCCACAATTTTCTTCAAAGGAAATCACAATCTGGTAAAAGCTGTGGAACTTTAGGATTAGATTTCTCTAAATCCAGGGTTCCACTGGGCAAAAAGCTCTTCCATTAAACCTTACATATTTCAGGCATTCTGAAACTTATGTCAGGATTCCCAGCTAGTATGGGGTTGATCATCCAGAGAGGTCTAAATATTTAATAAACCATTTAAAAAATTATATCTAGAGCCAATTGCACAATAACAGCGTGCCACAAAGTGTGTAGAAGAAAAGGAAATGAGCATATTCAAAATCTTTATTACAGTCATAGCATCTAATGTTTTCTTCTAATTCTTTTAAACTAGACTCTAGAAACTGCTGGCTATGTGAAGAGTGTAATAGTAAGTAACATATGCATTTGATTTTGCTTTTCATATATGCTTCCCTGTATTCTGCCTGGAATTATTTAGCTATAATGTTTAGTGATATTGTGTATTAATAGCAAAATAATGTATTCTAATTAATTAACGTAGATATGAGCCACAGAATTCTCTCTAAGAAGTAGAAAATTGAGAGTAAACCAAGGACAAATTGTGCTCTTAAAGTCTGAATATTACATTTTTAATGTCAAGGGTTTGTTTTTTTTTTCTATATTCTGATTTGCATCATGGATTATCTGTACAATGTGATTGCCAAGCTCATTCCTCATTTCACACCTTCCATAAATAAGTTTCTTATGCAGATCTCAAACATTTGTTTGTTCATTTATTTTGGACAGGAGCGTGACAAGCTTTTAAGATACAAGAAACAAAGGAAGAAATTTGCCAAATTTCCCAAGGTAAGCAAATAATGTAAAAAAGTTTATTTTAGTGCATATATCATGAGAGACTTGATGGAACAGTGAAAAGCACCATCTGGCTGAGCATCTGGTTTCCAACAGTTTTGACCAGAAGCTTCTGAGAAATTCATAAGCAGAATGAGAAGGCAGAATCCTTCCCCACTATTAATTCACAGCTTCACCTGCCATGCAAAAATACACTTGCTCACTCTAAACATGAAGTTTTTTATTGAAATAGCAGATCACCAGTTAGTGATCATTCCAGTCCTAAAATCAAGTGCAGTTCTCATATAGAATTATGCAAAGAATTATCATTAAGAATGCCAAAAAAATAACTGATAACTTGTTCTGATATTTAAATCAATTCAAATTGTGCTTCCTCTTAAATCTTCCAGATACATTTTACAGATGCTTTCACTTAAAAGTTAAAACTTCAGTTGAAGGAAATGAACTCAAGTTGGATTTGAGAGCAGAAAGTTTAAAATCTCTCCACCACTACCACAAAAAAAAAAAAAAAAAAACCTTTTGAATTAAAACCCCATTGATCTAAACCAGTGTTGTCCAAACTTGGCCACTTTAAGATGAGTGGACCAAGTTGAAGTC